TACATTTAATATCAGGGGTTGTGACTAAAAAAGGTTTAAGAAGTCCTGCTATAGGGCATTAAGGGCCTGCGGCCACTGAGATATCACATGTTGTTCAGTACGGCTTTCCTAAACACATCAAATCTCTATTCGCTTGACATTCATCGCAACCCAAAAAACATAGGCAGCAATGTCACAGAATGATAAATCACAGTCCCAAAATACCACAGGCAAATTTCAACATGCGTGGTAGAAGTTTCTCCTCCTCACATGAGACACTGACTTTTACACAAGGAACAAGTGTTCAAATATGATTTCCAAATAATAAAGCTGCTATACAATCTTCCTATTTATACACAATGTATATTGCATTACTTATACCTGCTTTATACACAGGCAAAGGAATGCTAACCAATTGCATATACCAGCAAATAGTAACTTGCATGCAAATTTGATATTTGTTGCATACCACCTTCATGGTGTAACAACTTTAATGGCCAGACATATTAGCTAATAATTTAAAATATTTTCTTTTGTTGTTTTCTTTAATGATTTTATAATGAATGGAAGTTTAAAAAAACTCAGATTAAAATAAGTAATTATACAAATTTTGCTAAAAAATGCTGTTTAAATACAGGGTTATCCAAATTAAACTTCCCCAACTCAGAGGCCTGTGCAGAGTGTATGGGTTATAATGTGATGAAATTTTAAAAACAGACACTTCAAGATCATGCGCTCGATTTATTAAACAAAAAAAATTAGTACAAGAAGTTGCCGATAGGTGGCGCTGCAGATCAACAAGACATTCTACAGATGTTCTATATGTGTACCGTGGTTCTCCACAACTCTTTCCATTCGCAAATCAGTGTGTTCCACAGCGGAATGCAGTAAGTCCACATTAATTCCACGAACATGTCGAATAATTACGTCTTTCAGATGTGCCAAGGTTGCTGGGTGTTCTCGGTAGACCCGATCCTTTAAGAATCCCCATAACCAAAAGTCGCATGGCATGAGATCAGGCGAGCGGGGAGGCCAAATTGTAGGGAAATAGTGGCTGATCACACATGCATCGGTAAAAGTTGCCGTAACACCTGTTGAACTCCAAGAAGAATATGGGGAGGTGCACCATCCTGCATAAATATCCTGTCCTGCAGGCGGCCACATTGTTGCAGTTCAGGGATCACAAACGTCAACATGTCCTGATACCGTTTTCCTGTGACAGAGCAGGTTTTCAACCCTGTTGGAGTCACCTCTTCAAAAAAATAAGGCCCAATGACGAATGTTGCAGTGTAACCGCACCATACAGTAACCTTTGAAGGGTTCAAGGGCACTTGATGGATTGCGCGCGGGTTTTCACTTGCAAAAATGTGGCAGTTGTGCATATTCACTTGACCATTCAGGTGAAAATAGGCCTCATCCATCCAAAGGATGTTCCATGGCCAAGCAGCATCGACTTCCATTCTGGCAAGGAACTGCAATGCAAATGTTTCTCGAACTACAGCATCCCCGTCCAGCTGGTGATAACGACTATAGATTTTGTAAGGAAAATAACCAAGGATTCGATGCATCACACGCCGGACGGTCGTATAGGGCATATCAACAGCACGAGAAACAGTTGGTACACTGACAACATCATGTAGCGATTGGCTAGTGGGGTCCATGACCACCAAAGCAACGTCTTCTACGCATGCAGATTCCACAACCTGTCCTCCTCTTCCTGGTAAAATTCCCAGCTGTCCTGTTCTTTCGAACTTCCTCATCATGTCTCGTAGAGCGCGTGGTGTCATTGGTACTCGGTGTAAGATCTTCAGCCGACGGAATGCTCTTATCGCAGCACAGGAAATCTCGTCATTCTGGTAGAAAAGTTTCACTAACAGAGCTTTGTCTTTCAAAATCGCCATTGTGTATCAGCGAGCTGGAAACAACTGCCTGTGCAAGGCCTGTCTTCCACTTTTGTAGGGCTCGTCTTTTGGATACGTAGTGCAGAAGCTTTATTTCTGCAAATCACTTTGCTGCAATATGCACATTACTAGTGTTACAGCGCCACCTATGTACTTCTTGTACTAATTTTTTTGTGTAATAAATCTCGAGCACATGATCTAAAGTGTGTGCTTTTAAAATTTCATCACATTATGACCCATACAACACTCTGCACAGGCCTCTGAGTTGGGGAAGTTTAATTTGGATAACCCTGTACGGTTCTTTATGAGCAGATTCAAAATGCTACATCACTCACAGTGTTAAACATCCACAAAATACCTACAAAAGTTACATGTAACCAACATATATAAGTATAAAAGTACAAAAGCTATAAAAGTATAAAAGCTCAATAAAAGTATAAATGTAGCTTATAAAGCCCAAGAATAAAATGCTTAAATGATTATAAAAGAATAAATGTAGCCCTAAAATGGATGGAAATGTAACAAAAAGAAGAAAAAAAAACCTACACAAGGATTAAATGGTTCTTCTCCCCCTCCCTCCTATAACAGAAAACCTACTATTTTCTGGTTACTTGGAATTATGGCAACCTTTTAATAAAGAAAATTCAGACTGCTCAAATAAAACTAACAGAAGCCCTTTCCACTTGAACGTTTTTGTGGAAAGTGATGCATGTTACAAGTCTATCAATTCTGATACTTTTATACAGAGAAGCAATCCCTGATGACATCTGTTATACTTGAGAACCATTACTACAATAGCAAGTACCCTTATAACACTTGAAGATTTGCAAGAGGAAAGAGATCTACACCACAAACATGGATATAGCTAAGAGTCAGTATTTCTGTCTTAAGAAGAAATAATAGCAGGCTGCCAATCAATAGACATTTTTCAAACTGTGATAAAAACATGCTCTGCTAAAACAATGAAGAAAAATTGCAATGAAATGATCACAAAAAATCAGTCAATTTTAATTAGCTTTTGTTTCAGTTTTTAAAATTATATATTATTTCTTTAAATCATACATTATATTGTATTATGAGCCACTCAGACAGTATAGCGGTTAGGAAAGCCTGACTGCGATACCAAAGAGCCTGGATTCGAATCCCGAAGAAGGCATGGTTGTAACTGTCCGTCCCTTCATAGGAGGCAATGGTGGCCCACTTATTAGTTGCCTCCATGATAAAGAGACCACCACATTTGGCCTTGTATAGATTAACGGACTGTGTTATCACACTGTAACTGTTCACAATCTGCCATTGAAAGGGGGGCATTATATTATGAAAACAAGTAATTTACAAAAATAGTAAATTATGGAATCTCTGTCCGAAACATGACTTTCATGCATATTATTTGGTAAACGAAGGAATGCTATAGTTCTGGCTCATCTGAGGAAAAAAGTGTTAACCAGTTATCCGAAAAGACTTTACCTGGATTAATCCAAATAAATGGGTTTACCGTAAATGCCTTTCCTCAACAATGTTATACATAATAATTTTTCTATCTTTTACATCAGAAGTTCCAAAGAATTACGTACTACTCTCACATATGCCAGCTTTACATATTAAAGGCATTCTATGAAAAAGGAAATACTTTGAGTTAAAAGCAAGTAAAAATGTGTTTTGTTAATGAATAAATGAATTTTCTGATGAAATGGTGTATAATTTTTTAATGTCACACTGTGCTAATATAAAAGTTGCTCAGATGTTTTCAGATAGACATTTCGAGGGAGGGGCATCAAGCCAACATATTAATTCACAGTTTTAATTCATGTCAAAAGAAGATTATGTTAAATTGTCAATTTGAGTGACAAGGTGAAGTTAAAGCTGATTTTCATCAATGAAAAATATTACTATTACTATTTGCCATTATTACAAATACTGTAATAGAGCCTAAGACTCTAAATTCCCATGGATCACATAAGTTATTGATTTGTTACTAGTTATGCCTTTCATAAAAAAAAGTTTTGAAATTTCACATAAATTTCTTATCGATAAACACATATTTATGACATTTTTAGATCACAAGAATTCAGCAATTCTGCACAATTAAAAAATAAAAGCAAAAGACAGCATATGCTTTTTCAAAATATAAGCTGAAAGAAAAAATAAACAAACAAAAACAATGAAAAAATTACAAGTAAGATCCAGGCAGCATATATTCAATCAAAATAAGCTTAACAGAAAAATGAAGTTAAGAAAAGAAAAGTACGGGTTTTGTGTCAGCATACTATGTGATGAATATTAGTGCAAAAAATGTAATTGCTGCTAACACACCTGGTGAGATTACAAAAGCAGTGATGCTATTAATGATAATTAACTAGTGAACAACACAGCCTAACAGATGCTCACATAACATAGTGAATAAGCTGCAACAATACATCTGCAGAAATATCTACACTGTAGCAGTCATTAATCTGAAGTATCTTTAGTTCATAAAAGCAACGAAATTTCAGAACCTGCATGAGACATTCAAACCAACATATACTTCTCTCCATCACTCAGAGATGAGAAGACAACAAAATACACTAGAACTTAAACATGATAATAAATATGCACTCATGATGAAAAGTCGATTTAATTTTGAAAATACATTTTGCTTCAAAGTTTTTTTCTTAATCCAATGGTGGGTACTTGCCTATTCAGCATTGACTACTCCTAAGGCCAGAAGCTGAAGCCATTTTATTGTGGAAGGACCTAATAAATGACCACTGTTGCCTCCTATGAAGGGACAGACAGTTACAACCATGTCTTCTCCAGGATTCAAACTCGGGCTCTTCAGTACCACAGTAGACTCCCCTAACCATTACACTATCTGGACTTCAAACGTGAATTATGAAATGTATTTGAAGATTTAGTCCCCTTAAAATAATTGTTTTAAATGATTTCAAATTCAAAATTCTTGAACACAAAAAATATTTTAATGACTATGTCATGGCAAATAACAGGGATGGAAGAGTATTAGATAATTTATTCAAAACAGGAATAGAGCTTATAAAAGGCAACAGAATGGAGTAGAATTTTTTACCTGGTCATAATTAAGGAATAATTTTAAAACAACTAATGAAATAATTAATGCTCTACCTTCTCTTCAGACTGTTTCATTTTTTCAAGTAGGTGATTACATTTGTTAGCATGCTCTTCTTCACCATACGATTCACTCTAAAAAATCATAAATTTTTAATGTTTAAGAATATACTAAAAAATCTAAGTATTAAGTTTACTTTATAAAACTAAAAGGAAGATTTGCTTTTAAAAAATGATTTCCTAACAGTTAAACAGAAATAATAATTAAATTCAGTAGAATGAAACGAAACTGTATAAGAATAACTTAATACAAAAACAGAAATTGAAAATAATACCAACAGGAATTTAATATTTAAAATCCAAAGAAGAGATGAACAACAGTTATACTTTTTTGGAAAGCTTAATACCCTTACTCGGTGAAATATGTAGGTCTGCACTGAAACTCTGATTGCTCTCATTCAAATGATTGATAACATTAAGAAATTTAATGCTTGCATAAAATATTCAAGAAATCCATTCAAATATTTTCCCCAGATTTTATTTAATTATAGGAAAAACTATTTATCAATTAAAAAAATGTTCCAAATTTTTAACCAAAAATTTATTAAACTGTTTTTTATTACTTAAAATAATAAATATCAAAGATTAAAAACCAAAGTTAGCACACTAATATCCTGATCCTATGCAGTATTTCAACCTTAGATTCACAAAAATGTTGACGCAACATAATTGAAGACAAATTTATAGGTACTATCCTCAAACTTGGTAGCATACCAAATTATAACATACCAATTTACATTGGTGTGCAAAAATTAAGGACGAAGTCGAAAAAATTAGCATATCAGCTGAACGAAGAGGCAGAGTGGACAGAAAGACCAATCAGGAGATTAAGTAAGGTGATGTACGGTAGCACATGCGCAGATATGCAGGTAGACGTAATGGGAGAGTATCTGAGTAGTATAAAGCATGTTGTCAGTGTAAGATCAGTATTTCTGGCAAAGAGATTGCACGCCATATAGCAGTTAAAATCACACCGAGTTGCTGCCCCAGCGAGAAATGGCGAATAATCAATCTGTTAGACGACATCTGGATGCTTTTACCCGAGGTCGAACCATTGGGAAGTTGGAGGAAGGCCGCAGTGTGACAAGTGTGGCTGCAGAGTTCGGATTGCTCAAAGCATCGTTTCACGACTTTGGAGACAATTTCAAACTACAGAACAGCTATCCGGGGGTTTAGTAGTGGTCGTCCACGAGGAACCACACCCACAGATGACCGGTATATTGCCTTAAAGGCCAGAAGAAACAGGCGACTGGACGACCGATATCATGTTTTACCGTGGCCAGAAGACTGCATGGTGGTGGTCTGTTTGCACGACGCCCTGTACGGTGTGTACCTCTAACGCCTGCCCATCGGAGAAGGCATCCTCTGTGGTGCCGGGAACACCGGAATTGGAGAGACAATGAATGGGGATGAGTACTCTTTACACATGAGAGCAGATTCAGTCTGATTAGCGATTCTCATCGCATACTCATCTGGAGAGAGCGGGGAAGCTGCAATCCTCCATCGAACATCAGTGAAAGGGATTGCAACTTCGGGCATCAAAAGCTAAACACTGACAGTAAACAAAGGAAAGGAAGGAACAAAGGAAACAAGGAAGCTACTTTTAGTAGCTTCAAAAGAATGATTGACATGTGATTTAACAACACATGAAAGCAATGAGTAATGCAGTAACGTGATGGGGGGGAAGCACTGGGTAGGAAATTATTCAGGCGTTTCGGGCGTCCAGCCGATGTCTGAATGTTTGGGCGTTTGGGACGACTTCGATGCGAAAGAGTTAAAGGCCTCTGTAAGCATAACCCCACCTCAAACAAGCACTGTGAGATGGTGGCTGATACCACAGGAGGTATAGACGTGGCTATAGTGCGTTGAATAGTCAACAATGATACTGTTGGGACGGTTCGGGCCTGGCGAACAATCATCCTATCTTGCCTCGCATTTGTGCTCCTTGGCATTCCAGAGCTTTCATTTTGTCGACAAGTTCCTTGTAGCAACCACTGCTGCCAACATCTTTGCACAGCAGTGTCTGTACGCTGCAGGTGGTGGCCTATTGCTCGGTGTGACCACTCAGCTTCACGCAACCCTACAATGTGATCACATTCCAAGTCGTTCAGTTGTCTGTAAGGCCTTCTATACCATTGTAATAGCATCCTTAGCTAATTTTTTACAGAATTACAATGGCAGCCAAAAAAAAAATGATAAATTTTCCACCTCTGTTACTGGTTTTATAGTTTGCTAATTGCACACTAGAAATGCGCACTATGACTGCAATTCTTGTTCATTTGCCTTGAAATTTTGATCATTTGCCTGTTTGATCAAGATATTTTTGCAAAACAGTGTATATATAGAGCAAAAAAAAAAAAATTACTGAAAAAGTAAATGCAATGCACTCAGCTAACTATGATGCCCAATAGACGAATTTACATACATATATACACTGCTTTAGGATGAAACTATTATACAATGTTTTTACTGCTTTCTTAGCATGCTTTTGTGGTGTAATAGTCAGCACACTCAGCGCATATTCCAGAGGTCCGAGGAACGAGTCCCGGCAAGGGCATTGCCCGTTTTTCATGTCTCTTGACTCAAAAATACCTAATAAATCTACAGTGGTGCCTGAACTAAAAGGTGGTGCATGATTATTCTAAACTACCAGAATTTGGTATTGGGTCCCCTAATCCCCAGTCGCTCTTTAAAAGGGGGTGTATATAAGGTATTTCTCCTGCCTTCTTAGCATGTCTTTGTAGTGTAATGATCAGCACACTGGCATGTATTCAAGAGGTCCGAGGTTTGAGTTTCAGCGAGAGCATTGCTCATATTTCACTTCTCCTGCTTTGAAATAGCCTAATGTCACTACACCATAACAAGTTGAAAGGCATCCAAGTATGAAATGTTATCATCATTTGTCTTCATTAAAATGTCATTTGGTTATTATTAATTCCCACATATTATCAGAAGTGGGATTTGAGTTGAATTATTTGATAAACGTTGAAGAATTACGCTTTGACATTGTGATTAGATTGATGATGAACAGAAATTTTGTGTTCTAAAATTAGTGAGTAAATGGTGTGCAGCTCTAGTAAAGACTGTGGAATAATGGAATGATACTTAAGTCTCAAGATGTGAATTTTGATGAAAAATCTCCTGAGGATGGATGTTCATGCTCGCAGTGATGGAACTTTGTTTAGTTTCTGTTCCTGGATTATAAATAGAATGTCATGGATAACTATTATACGAAGTGAGTGTATCTTAATTGTTTTATTAATCATGAATTTAAATAATATATCAGGAATGGAAAATGTCTTGAAAAGCGAGAAAGCCCATAAAATAAAATTACTACATAAAGTAATATTCGACAAGTGGACGAAAAAATAATAGAAAAAGATTAGGATAATTTAGTGGTTTCTCTTTAACATGGAATAGTAAAGAATTTAATGAATAGCTAGGGGAAAAAAATCATAAAAGATGTTTAGGCTCGAGAATTATTTTCCATTGCCAATATTTTATGTATTGATAGCTCTGGCACACAAGATGATTTAGCAACCCAAATTTTTCTTATCCGAATAATTCACAGTTACTTGAAAATAATGTAATTTTAGAAGAAAACAAAAGTGATTCAGAGGGTGAGGATAGTGGGGATAATAATGAAGTTGATGATAATATACAAGATGAAACAAAACTAAGAAACAATTCTGGTGCCACAGTGAGACAACTTCCCTTCCAAAGTGCTAATAATAGTACTCTTAAAACAACTGAGTCGAATGTATTTCATAATTGCAATATAAATGTTAATATATTTCATAATTGCAATATAAATGTTTCTACCGAAGACATCAAATCTTTTATTGCTCAATTTGATGGCCAAAGCCATGAAAATGTCAGTAGTTGGGGCGAAAGTGTTGAAGATGCAGCTGCCATTCTTCAATTAAATGATTTACAGAAATTGATTTTCACTAAATGCCTGATGACAGGCAAAGCAAAACTCTTTATTCTTAGTGAACCCAAGTTGAACTCATGGCAAGTGTTTAAGAATGATGAATTTTGGTCCAGCTACAATTTGGCTGAACTGCACGAGTTATTATCAAAATAAAAAATGAAGATCAATGAAACGACTGATAAGTTTTTTTAAAACATGAAAAGAATTGCTCAAAATGGTCAAATTGAAGATGTTGCTTTAATACAATATGTTATAGATGGTATAACAGGATCTATGTTTAAAACATTTTGGTTGTATGTGTCGCAGATTTTGAGAACAAGTTGAAGCTTTATCAGCAGTTATGCAATGATTAAGAAAAGGCATGAACATCTAAAACAAAATTTGAAAGTAAACAAGACAAAAAAAATTAATCGAGGAAAAAAGTCGATTAAAAAATTCTGTTGACCAAACAAAGTGAAACGTAACTAATGGTTGAGGAAAAATTCCTGAGAATGACTATAAGATGACCAGTTTCAACTGCAGTGAAAACGGTCCTATTTCTGAACAATGTGTTCATAAGATAAGGGCATCAATGTTTTAAATGTAAAGAATTTGGGCACTGAAGTTTTGAATGCCCAAAGACGAATTCAAAACCAGAAGTAGCAACCTAAATATTGATGTTGTCTCAAAGTTGACCAAAGAAGTAAATTTTAATGATGTTATGTGGAACCGCGTTAATAGACATGTGAAGTCAAACTACTTTGTTATGCAAATCTATTTTTGATAAATTAAGTGTAGAAGGTCTCATACTCATAAGCTTAATAATAAGGTCTCATACTCATAAGGGTTCGGCAAATGTCAAGTAAAACTACTAGGTTTCTTCTATTAGGAAGATAATATTGAAGTTAACGATTTTCAATGTACTGCAAATATTTATGTTGTGGACAACAATGTGATGACACATGAGGCTATTTTAGGCTTAGATGAATACTGAAAGGTGAAACATTAATAAACAAAAATGGGGTTACTATAAAAAATATGTTGCACAGTGTAGAGGAAGTAAATATTGTATGTGTTTTACCTGCTGATGTAAATAAATATTGTACTCAGCATTCCAAACTGCTTTAATGAGACTGTTCAGCAGCTGGTTTTGAATTATATG